CCTTGACTTCCATCTGTGTTGTAATGTGTCCGTTCTTTGGATCTTAAGGCCAAAACACATCTCCGTGAAGCTCGGAGTGGTTCAGCATTACCTCTCAACCCTGTACTCTGTACAAGAGAATGTGGGCTCTTCGGGATTCAGGGGGAAAGTTCATCTTTGATTCCTGTTGACCACAAGAATCCAGGGTACACCTCCAAACTCAGTGCTGTATGGTTCTGGACTTGGTGTCAGGTCCAGCTAAGGACACTGCCCATGTCTCCACTCCTAAGAAGATAACAACTTTTCCCCCTTAAATGTCTTGCTGCCTTGCTGCCCTCTCTTGTTCCTTTTTTTGTAGCTAAATTTGTAAATTTAGCTAACTAGCATGAAGATGTTCTGACCTTACAGATTGTATACATAAGTACATTTTTCTGAAGAAAATGTCCATATATTTAATTCGAATCACCCAAAGATCAAACAGCTAAAACCACGACTTTGGGTTCCATCAGTTCGCCAAGTCTAACCGCTACTAGGGCTGGAAGGTTTGATTCGAAAATGGGAACTGAGAGAAGAGAGTAGAGACATCGCAAGAGTTAAGGAGACAGATTCCTTCTGGGATTAAGGAGGATAACAACTCCTCCATGCCACACATTTCGTGAGGGGATTAAAACTTGTTCTTTTGCCGGGTTCCCAATGTGTAGAGGAGAAAACCAAGGTGTGTGTGTGTGTGTGTGTGTGTGTGTGTGTGTGTGTGTGTATGTGTGAGAGAGTCCTGTGTACTGTGTATTCCTTCCTTCCTTTCTTTCTTTCTTTCTTTCTTTCTTTCTTTCTTTCTTTCTTTCTTTCTTTCTTCTTTCTGTTTTCTTTCTTTCTTTTTTTTTCTTTTTTTGAGACAGGTTTCTCTGTAGCTTTGGAGTCTGTCCTGGAACTCGCTCTTATAGACCAGGTTGGCCTCAAGCTCACAGAGATCAGCCTGCCTCTGCCTCCAGAGTGCTGAAATTAAAGGCATGTGTCACTACTACCTGGCTAAAAATGTATAGCCCAGGCTGGTCTCTAACTCATGATCCTCCTGCCTCTGTGTCCTTCAGTAAATCCTACTGGTGTGCATCACCACAACCGGTAATGTGTGTGTCTTCTTTTTGTAACCAACAGTGACCCTAGCAGCAGGGTTTCTGAGCCCTCTTGGAATCCTCATTTGTGGGGTCAGGGGTGGGGCATGAAGACAGCAGTCCCCAAACTGTGTCTCCCTTAAATGTATCCTTCAATCAGCCTCCTAGAGTGAAGTATTTTTCTGATCTCACAGGGGGGTAAAGACTCGAAAAATATGATTCATCTTCATAAGATTGGGTCCTGCCTTTGGTGTTGGCTTTCACTCCCCAACGCTCATCCACACTTGGCATAATTTGCACTGCACTGACACTCACAGCATCACTAGTGCCTGGGAATAAAGAGCCCGTTAGTTCCGGGTGGCCGGCAGCCTACTCAAGTTTGGGAATCGCCACTGCGGCACAGGACAGGCTGACACATGGCAAACTGTCGTGCCATTTTCCTGTGTCTCTGAGTTTGACCAGCAGGATGCAGATGATCAGACACTAGAGATCGTGGCGGTGCAGTGTGCAGGACTCTGGGCTTTGGGGGTGGGCAGAGGATGCGGGAGAAATTGCATCTCCTCACCCTGCTCACAGCCTGAACTGGTTTCTGTGAGCTGCTGTAAATGTACCACATGTTTTGTAAACTTGGGTCATAATTTCGGTCAGGTTTTATGGAAGAGCTCCAGTTTTGCAGTCAACCCCCACTCTCTTGCAATTAATCAGTCTCCATTAAATGCCGAGTTGAGCTGCTGTTTTTCAAAACACGAAGGTGGTTGTGTCTACCTACAACTTGCCTTTCCCTGACATGGCTGGTGTTTAAGATGTCCTCATAACATCACCAGGGGGTTATTTGGCAAAGACAAAAGTTGTAATTTTGTTCCTTACTCTAAGTTATAAAAGAATCAAGTTTTGCTTTTTTGGCAATAGTCACTGTCTCTCTCATTCTTCTTCCCCTTCTTCCTTTTTCCCTTTCTCTCTTTCTCTTCCTCCCTCATCCCCTTCCTTTTCAGCCAAATTCCACTGAGGATGAAATATCCCGGGAGATTCTTTGGGATGCTACAGAAACAATCTTTGCATATTTATGAATGAGGGGCTGCAGGGACTCCATGACAGGCTCATTTTCTCTCAGGTTTAGGTAACTCCCTGTTCTTTGTGCACAGACCCGTACAGGGTACTTGGCTAAGGGGAATCTCCCACAGTGTCTTAGCGGCCAGCATCCTTGCTCTTCTATAGGATTTGATTTCAGAATTGAGGTGCTGGCTCTACGAGGGCCTCTGTATTTAGGTTGAGTTTCCCTTCTGAGAAGAATCCTTCCTTTTCCACTGACAGTGCACACCACTGGGTCCTCGTGCCTAGCAAGTGCCCTGCTGACTGTTCTCTTTCCATCAGAACACAAAATGGAACTAAAAATGCTTTCTGTTCTCCCTTGGACTAAATAGTCTGTGAGAGTGTAATTGAGACTAGGTAATGAGGAAGGATACTGCTAATCCTTCCTTTTGTTAAGTGGGCCAGTTTTAACACATTTACACAGAAGGATGAAGAAATGGCTGATGGAGTTGACTCAATGTAAGATTACAGTGACATCAAAAACTTGACCCTAGTTAGCAAATCGAGTTATGGGTTTACCCACAGCCAGGTGCCCTACTGGAACGTAGCCTAGAGAAACAGGTAGCCCAGTTACTTATATTCAGTGCTAAGTCACACAGTTTCCGTGTTTGAATTACCAAGCACTTCTGCAGTAACATCTGTCTCATCATTGTTCTATGGCATTTAGGATTTGGCTCGTGCCTACTGACTGAGAGAGAAGGTCAAGGCCCGAAACTAGTCTGTCTTGGTGTAGATCTTGGTTTACCATCAGTTAGCGGGGACCTTGACACATCACTGCCTTCTCTAGGTGTCAGCTTCCCCATTCACAGACCATCACAGACCATCATAGACCATCATAAACCATCCCATACTGTCCCAGACTGTCCCAGACCACCTCAGACCATCGCAGACCATCGCAGACCATCCCAGACTATCTCAGACCATCCCATATCATCCCAGACCATCCCAGACCATCCCAGACCATCCCAGACCATCCCAGACCATCACAGACCGTCCCAGACCATCCCATATCATCACAGACCATCCCAGACCATCCCAGACCATCCCAGACCATCACAGACCATCCCAGACCATCACAGACCATCACAGACCGTCCAAGACCATCACAGACCATCACAGACCATCACAGACCATCACAGACCATCACAGACCGTCCAAGACCATCACAGACCGTCCAAGACCATCACAGACCATCCCAGACCATCACAGACCATCACAGACCGTCACAGACTGTCCCAGACCATCCCAGACCATCCCAGACCATCCCATATCATCACAGACCATCCCAGATCATCCCAGACCATCCCATATCATCACAGACCATCCCAGACCATCACAGACCATCACAGACCATCCAGACCGTCCAAGATCATCCCAGACCGTCCCAGACCATCCCAGACCATCCCATATCATCACAGACCATCACAGACCATCCAGACCGTCCAAGACCATCCCAGACCATTCCAGACCGTCACAGGACTAGCTGTTGGTGCTAACAACTCTGCAACCATACTTTTCTAATCTGCCATTCATTTTTAAAAATATTTATTTTATTTTTAAATTGTGTATTTGTGTGTACATGTGTGTTCATGAGTGTGCTCATATGCACAGAATCATCCAAATGTCCCCTAAATAAAGCAGTCTGTCTTAGGTAGGACTTCTTTTTGAGAATAAAACACCATGACCAAAAGTAACATGGGAAGGAATAAGTTTGTTTGACTTATGTATCCTTGATCCCAGTCCACTGAGGGAAGCCAACGTAGGATCTCAAACTGAGCAGGAACCTGGAGGCAAGAGCTTATGCGAAGGCCAGGGAAGAGGAATACTTACTGGCTTGCCGTCCATGGCTTGCTTAGCCTGCTTGCTTATACATCCCAGAACCTCCAGCTCTGGGTGGCACCACCTACCTGAGCTGGGCCCTCTCTTATGGTTCACTAATTAAGAAAATGTCCTACAGGCTTGTATGCAGCCAGTCCTTCGGAGGCGTTTTCTCAGTTGAGGTTCCCTCCTCTCAGATGACTCTAGCTCGTATCTACTTGACATAATAACTAGCTAGCATGCAGCCATTCTGAGCTACAAGGATTCTGTGACTCCTGAAGTCTGCTGCAGCTTGGTACCTCTGCATGTGTCGTCTCATTCCCATTATTCCTTCATCCTCAGGGTGGTGGTTTGATTATAATGGCTCCTAGAGACCCATATGTTTGAAAATTGTCTCCTAATTGACTAGAAGTTGTGAGTTTGTCAGAGGAGGCGTGTCCCTGGGTGAGGCCTCTGAGGTTCAACAGCCTCGAAAGAAGTCGTTCCAAGCTAGCACGAGAGTTCCCCAATCACTCACCCCTACCTCCAACTTTTAGATCAAAATGTGAGCTCTTAGATTGTTTTTGCCACCATTTCTTTACTCTGACATCGTGAACTCTAACCTTTTGAAACCATAAGCCGCAAATTATACATAGTTAGGATGTGCCTTAGTCATGGTGATTTATCACAGCAATAGAAATCCTAACTAAGACATTCAGTTGGAAAAAAATCCTCCGTCTTCCTATGTTCAGGTAAAATATCCCCACATCAGCAACCTTTCTGTAGCGGTCCCCTCTTTCTGTCTCTTTGCCATCTCAGTATCCTTGAACTATGATCTACCAACTGATTTACTGGTTAGCCATTTAACCTTACTGGGTGCTTATTATATTCCTGGATATACATCAAACGTTAGTGTATATATTTGTTTGTATTCTTCTTTTGGATCTGGAAAACTGCTTAATCAGCACACAGTGGTGCCCTACAAACGTGTAAGTGGATATATTTTACAGCCACAATACGTACATTCAAATAATATGCTCAAAATAACTTAATCTTTTCATAGTCATAATGCTATAATAAATTTGCTGTCAAACCTTGTTTTAGGAAAGACAGAGAAACAAGAAGAATGAGGATAAAATGGTGTCGTACCTAGACTTCAAGAGCTAAAGAAACTTAGCTGAAGACTAAGGTGGGCAACATCCATGTGACTTTAGAGCTTAAGCCTTTAACTATGGCATTGCACTGCTGACCCCACCCCAAAACACACAGTAACACACTTCTATGAGGAAATTAAAATAGGTGGAGAGAGCTGATATTTGACCTTGAGTCAACCTCCACAAACACGACTGCCATTCATGACAGCTTCATTTTTTGTAATTCTGTATTTGTGTACTTGTGTGGAAGTGGGGTCTAAGTGTGTATGTATGCATGTGTTTGCCTGTGCCTGTGCATGTGGAAGGCAGAGGTTAATCTTGGGTGTCCTACCTCAGGCACCATGGAGATGAAGAGCAGCCTAGATTGACTGCCCAGCAAGTCCCTAAGGGAAACCCCCCCCTCCGGCTATGCTTTCCCAGGGTGAGGTTGCAAGCCTGTGCCACTCTGCCTGGGCTCTGTATGCGAGCTCTGGGGATTGAACTCAGGTCCCTGTGCCTGAGAGGAAAATACTTCAGCAAAGAAACCATCTCTCCAGTCCCAAAAATATGCAATTTAAAAAATGTCCAGTGCTGTTTTTTTAGATAATCACACTTTTAGTTTTCTCCAGTAAATTAAGGAAATTCTGGTAAGAAACAAGCAAAAAAACAATTGGTAATGTAGAAAGAGAATGGTTCTAAATCAGACAAGCATGGCTCGAACCCAGCTAGGTCCCCGGATGTGCAGCCAGGCTTAGGTAGCACAACTTCTGGCTTTATTGTCTTCTGTAGACCAAACGTAATAAGAAACATGGGCAGCTTTGTGAGGGGGTTAGCGGCGATATTGTGCTGACCCACAGAGGACTTGATTAATGCCAAAGTTCTACTCTTAAGTCCCCGAAGATGATTGTGACCCCCCACCCCCGCGCGCGCCATGATCTGCTAAACAGCAGCCACAACAAACTTTTCCATAGCTTCATGTGGCTTTTTGTCTCAATCCTTTATTCTCGTTCTCATGAAAATTGGGCTTCAGCAGGATTGTTATTTAGGTGCTTTATAGTCGTTCCCTGGAATTTGACATCTTTTCCACAGAGTCTCTCTTGAGATGAAAGAGAAAGGAAGCAGTGACAATGGCACATGTAGGATATTAGAGCTATCCTCACCAGTTGACTGCTGTTTTTATTCATGTTTTCTCTTCTTGATCAGCTAGCTTATTTTCATTGGACTCCCATGGCCCAGCGGTCCTCTTCCAATATCTTGCAAGATGACAGGAACCATAAGAGAGCCACTGGACGGTCTAATCAACGAATCCGATTTCCTAGACTACGTCGCTGTTTTGGAAAACTGCACCGATGAGCACCAAATCTTATTCAAGACGCAGTACCTCCCTGCGATCTACAGCATCATCTTCCTTGTGGGCTTCCCGGGGAACACCGTGGCGATTTCCATCTACATTTTCAAGATGCGACCCTGGAAGAGCAGTACCGTCATCATGCTGAACTTGGCCTTGACCGACCTGCTGTACCTGACGAGTCTTCCTTTCCTCATCCATTACTACGCGAGTGGTGAAAACTGGATCTTCGGGGACTTCATGTGCAAGTTCATCCGGTTCGGCTTCCACTTCAACCTCTACAGCAGCATCCTCTTCCTCACCTGCTTCAGCATCTTCCGGTACATCGTCATCATTCACCCAATGAGCTGCTTGTCTATTCAGAAGACGCGGTGGGCGGTGGTAGCTTGTGCAGGGGTGTGGGTCATCTCATTGGTGGCCGTCTCGCCTATCACTTTCCTGATCACATCAACCACCAGGACCAACAGGTCTGCTTGTCTTGACCTCACCAGTTCAGATGACCTCACTACTATCAAATGGTACAATCTCATTTTGACTGCCACCACCTTCTGCTTGCCCTTGGTGATAGTGACACTTTGCTACACAACAATTATCAGCACCCTGACTCATGGGCCTCAGACCCACAGCTGCTTTAAGCAGAAGGCCCGGAGACTGACCATTCTGCTGCTCCTCGTGTTTTATATATGTTTTTTACCCTTCCACATCCTGAGGGTCATTCGGATTGAATCTCGCCTGCTTTCCATCAGCTGCTCCATCGAGAGTCACATTCACGAAGCTTACATTGTTTCTAGGCCATTAGCGGCCCTCAACACCTTTGGAAACCTGCTGCTATATGTCGTGGTCAGCAATAACTTCCAGCAGGCATTCTGCTCCATAGTGAGTTGCAGAGCCAGTGGGGACCTTGAACAAGAAAAGAAAGACAGTTGCTCAAATAACCCTTGAGTCAACGTCACTTAGTGGAGGCTAGGGAGATGTCTCAGCGGGCACAGACAGTTCTTGACACGCAAATGCCGGGATCTGAAAAAGAATCCTCATAATCTACTTAAATTGGCAGTGGTAGCAAGAACCTGCAATCCCAGGACTCCTGTGGTAAGATGGACCTGGGGCAAGAGAATTCCTACAGGCTCAAGGGCCAGCTAGTCAACTGTATACTGAGACTAACCTCAAAGAGACCTTGTTTCCAACAAGATAGAAGACAGGGCTGATCGTTACACATGTATTTACTCCCCTCCCCCACAACCGGGAACATATCAATCACACATACACAGACACTCATCAAATATTGAACAATCAATAAATCAATCAGTGCCTCCTGATAATTTGTACAGAGCTTCCAAGAGGTCTTCCCTCAGTAGAACATTTAGTAACTACAGTATATTCAGGTCATTATGAGCCAAAGCCATGGACAGGACTCTTAGGAGATCTTTGCAATATTTTTTTTAGATCTTTGGTTAGAGAATGAGACACATGAGTGTCCTGGACGTCCCAGAGTTTTAGAGTGAGGATGGGACACCAAATACAACGGAAGTCAAGGGTCTCCTTTCACAACTCGTTGCCTGTCTTTCGTACCTTGAGGCCCATGTTTACTGAAATCCTAGATTATACTAAGATTCACTTGTGCCTTCCACAATACCTTCACATCTAGGGCATTTATGACTTCCTTTCCTTTCCTTTCCTTTTTCCATGAGATTATTGCTCTGAGTGTTGCTTTCAGTTCTAGTTAGGTCTTTAGATGGAAGGAAGACATTAGGACACACTTGAAACAGGCCCAGGGACCTGACTCAGTCGGTGAGCGCCTGTTGCGCATGTCTGAAGGCTTGAGCTTGGTCTCTAGAACCTAGAAGTAAAAGCCAGGTGCCAGTGGCATGCACTTGGAATCCCAGATCTGGGCAGGCATTGTAACATGAGGGCCGGCTTGTTGGGGTATCTGTCCCTCCCAGTACCCCACAACTGGCAAGCCACAAAGAAAATCACACACAGTCTACATTAGGTTATAAACTGATTGGCCCATTAGGTCAGGTTTCTTATTAGTCCTTGTAACTTATATTGATCCATTATCATTATCTATGTTAGCCATAATGGCTCAGTACCTTTTCCAGCGGGGGCAGCTTACATGTTGCCTCTTCAGTGGTCTGCGCAGGAATGGCTGAGAGAGCTTCTGCTTCCATAATACTCCCAGTCTCTTTGGTCCACCCCTACTTCCTGTCTGGCTTTCCCGCCTATACTGCCTGCCTGGCCAATCAGTGTTTTATTAAAATATGATTGACAGAACACAGATAATTCTCCCGCATCAAGGCATAAATAGGTCCCTAGGACCTACTGGCCAGCCAGTTTAGTCTCCTTGGTGAGTCCCAGCACAATGAGAGATCCTAACTCAAAAACTGTGGGATATTGCTCTTGGTGAACCAGAACCGGGTTGTCCTCTGGTTCTGGTCTGTCTTCTCGGTTGTCAAATTTAGAAATCACATTAAGTTTTATAGGGAATTGTTAACACCTCCCAGAGAAAGAGGAGACAAACAGAGAAACCGAAATTCTTTCAGATATCACGGAGGCAGTAGGTACTATGTCAAATCTAACGCGGCCTTGGTTTCTAGGGAGACTTCTCCAGGAGACACTGTCTTTGACTTCCTTTCTTTGAGAACGATAATTGAAAATAATGCCTGCAGAAACAGCGAAAGTTATTCTTGGATTATGTGTATTCTTAATTATCAGTAAATATAAATATTTGAGAAAATACCTGGGCTAGATATTTTAAATCCCAATGAATGTGTTGATATAATAATAAACTTTAAAAAACCATTCTCTGAAATGTTTTTCCACAAGAAGATGCAATTTATTTATTGTTTTATTGACAACCAAGTTATTTTCTTCATGATTAGTGAGCAGGAGGATGTTTGAGAATCAGATGTAGAGTATGGCTGGAAGACAGGGCTTCTGCATAGGAAAGGGGGCATCAGATTCCACGGACCTTCGGGCTTTCTGGGACAGCAAGTCTGAGCTAGACCAAAGAGATGTTTATCCAGATCCTGTGCTGGGCAAGTGGGATGGGACGGGGCGGAAGAAGGCCTGGGCCCTAACGTGAACTTCTCTGGGTGAAAGCACCCCAGAGTCACTTTTGAGCCATTCGCGTGCAGCGTTCCTGTAATTCTTGGAACAAGCTATCTGGATAGAAGCCCTGACTTAGCTCTTCACGGTGGCTGCATAGCTTGGAGCAGCGACCAGCAGTCCACTGGGAACTCGGCGCCACACAGATTTCCGCCTCTGCTCCTGGCCTTTCGTGCCAGCCTGGCTGCTGGACCATCGCTAACATGCAGCTGTGTGACAGTTGTTAGTTTTTCACTTTTTAAATTTTTCAATTGATTCTTGAGCCGCATCAGGATGGTTTCTAGGATAAGGGGTGAGTGGAGACCATCCAAAGCTGTTTCTGACCCTGGACACTTTAAACTCCTTCCCTTCCTCCCCATCTTCATTCTTCTTTATGTCAAAGATCTCTTCCATCAGGGCAAAGCAACCTTATCTCTGTTCATGCTTGTTTTCACACATTTTTCACACACACACACACACACACACACACACACACACACACACAGAGAGAGAGAGAGAGAGAGAGAAACACATTAATTTCTTTGGTCCCTTTCTTTCTTCCAACCAAATACAGGGAAATAAATAATTTTTCTTCGGTTACATACTAGCCCACTGTGTCTGTGGCCTTATTTTGTAACGTTAGGTACCCAACACCAACACTTAATCCCACTTTCTCCAATTTTTAACATTTTTATTTCCCTGGATAATTGACCTTCGCTCTGGAACATGCATGATTTTCTATTCTTCCCACAACACGTTGCGTGATCCGGCTTCCTGCCACTCTCTCACCTGACCTGCTTCCCTAGGGACCGGCAGACACTGATCACTGTCTGCCCTCGAACGCCCTGCTGATTGAACATAATCACAACGATCCAAGCTAAATTGAACTAAAGGGTTATTTTTATTTTCCAAAGCATAGAGTTGTGGAATAATTGGGCTAGAGGTTGCATTTTGAACTGAAGCCTCTCCTTTCAAAGTGACAGAGGATGTTCAGAGGATGATATACAGGTTTCAGGCTACTGGGGACCCTCAAGACCTTGCCACTTACAGACATCCATGGACAGAGAAAAGGTACGAACAGAGAGTAGGGATCAAACTGTGGACACTGCAAGGAAACCGCCTATGCCTGCTGAACACAAGAGGCGGAGCACTCAAGTCTGGCTGCACCTGAGAAAACCCAGAGAAAAGCTATTGTGATCCTTGAGACACAATAGCACCCTCACTTTGATTGTGACTATGCCTCACAGAAATGTTCAGACTCACAACGTTAGAGAGAACAAAATGACAATGTACCCTAAACGTACACTTCACGGTGATGAATGCCCCACCATGCTTGTTTAGATCTGACTCTGCCTTTGCAGATGCATTTAGATTTCAGAAGAATATTTAAGGGAAGTTCTGGACAACAAACAGTTTCACCTATACATGCTTTAATAGTGGTGTCTTGCAAGGTCTAATAAAAACCTTTCTTTTAAAAGTAAGTAGTAGACGCTGGGCATGGCGGTACCCATCTCTAATTCATGCACCTTTTATCTTAGGCAGAGGCAGATGGATTTCTGAGTTTGAGTCTAGCCTGGACTACACAGCAAGTTCCAGGCCAAGCAAGGCTGCATATATCTATATCTCTATTTATATCTACTGACATACTGACAGGTATCTCTACACACACACACACACACACACACACACACACACACACACACACACACACAGTTAGTTAGTTAGTGATAGAGAATTGCCTGCCATATGTGAGGCCCTGGATTCCATCTCAAGACCATAAAGAAGTTCTAATTTTATTTATTACCAATCCATATTTTAGTCAAAAGTGTGTTTTACTGTTCCTATCCCAAACAAAATTCAGAATGCAAACAAGCTCTAAAGGTGTGTTTGGTAGTTTATTTACTCGTGTGTGTGTGTGTGTGTGTGTGTGTGTGTGTGTGTGTGTGTGTGTCTATGTGTGTGTGACTCATGTGGGCAGGTGCTCCCGGAGGCCAGAAGCTATTCATTCTCCTGAAAGCAGGAGTTATGCACAGCTGTGAGACACCTGGGTTCGGGTGCTAGGAACTGAACTCAGGTCTGCTGGAAGCAGGAAGTTCCCTTAGCCACTGCACTTATGCCAGCCCCTCTTGCATTCATTTAACCAGTTCTCCCTAGGGCTGCAGAGATGGCTCAGAGGTTACGAAGGCTTCCTGCTCTGGCAGAGGACCCAGATTTGGTTCCCAGCACCAGCTTGGTGGCCCCCACTCCCTGTAGCTCTCACTCTAGGGACTATGACATTCTCTCCTGGCTTGCCCAGACTTTGCAGGAGAAAACACACACAAGCCGCACACAAATATAAATGAGTAGTTTCTCCTTCCTTTATAACTATGTTTTTAATAAAGATATCATTTCATGTGTCCTGCCGGGAATTCCACACTCAGCACCTGCTTTGAATTCCTTGCTTCTCTATTCGTTTCTGTTGTTATTTAGAAAACAGAGTTTGAAGTTAAATTAGACACAATCTCTCACTCTCTCCCTTTCTCTCCCCCCTCTTAGTTTTTTCATTTATGGGGATTCGAATCCATAGCAGAAGATGTACAGTCTGATTGCCAACTAAGCCAGGGCTCAGGATGTACCGTGCTAACACTTCAAGCCTACGTTCCTTTGCCCTTATTGATTTATGTCTACTTTTATTGGTTGTTTGTTATTGTTTGATCCACTGGCTGATTATTTTGTAGTAAGCTTTGCTGTCAGCCACCAGCTCACAAATAATGACAGGGAGACTTCTTATTAATTATGAAAGCTTGGCCTTAGCTTAGGCTTGTCCCACTAGCTTTTACAACTTAAATTAACCCATTTATATTAATCTATATTTTCCCTCGCGGTTTTTCACCTTTCTCTCATTCTGTATATCTGACTTCCTCCATGTCTCCTTGGCATCTGATGTATGCTTAGGTTCATCTCTTACTGCCTTTCTCTCTATCCAGAAGTCCCGCCTATACCCCCTGCCTTGCTATTGGCCATTTAGCTCTTAATTAAACCAATCACAGTAATAGATTTTCACACAATGGGATACATATATCCCACATCAATTTTTAAAATGACTAACATTTTCCTGCTTCTATTAGACATGGTTTGTCTATAAGCAAAACCTCATATCAGATATGCTTTATTCTGCTCTTCCCCTCGTTCCTTCCCAACTACAGTTAGCTACAATTTCTTTCTTGGAAAGCAGAAGGAAAAGATGCAAACAGACTGGGAAATTGTCTCCAAGGACTTGCTCAATGAGAGTAAGTGATGAGAGAAAATTTGACATTTCCTTCCCCTTATGGGCCAAGTTCTTCCTATCCTGGGGTTAATAGCCAAGCTTATGACCCTGTGGAGGGAGATTACCATCTTTCTGCTGCATGTGCCTACACATCCCCCTGAGTGGGGCTTTTAGCATCTTCTTCAATCAGTAAAGGCCGTTTTGATTTTCCTCCACATGACTCTGAGTGTCCTGCGCTCGGCCTCGCCTGCAAGAACCACGCGGGACACAGGATTCTTCTGCAGAAAGGCTTTAATCCTCTTGGGAGCTAGAGCATAAGCCACATGGCGGAGACCCAGATATGAAGGAAGCCATCCCTTATATATGAAACAGTCCTAGCTTCGGACGTGTCACTCTTGGATTGGTCAACTGCTCCCAGTCCCAGGTGATACCTTGGGAGTAGTGGAAAGTTACCAACACGTGTGAGCTTTCTAGCTCACCTGGCGGTGCAGCGCCATCTATGGTGGAGAGTGTGGTTGCGGCCTTCTACATCTGAGCAGGAGTGAAACAAGGTATCAATTATCCACAAGGCCGTGAAGCGCTGGAGTCTAAACATTCACATCCGGGTTCAATTTGTCTGCTATGCAATGAACCCTGAATGTGGTGAAGC